GGCATGAAAAACAATAACTTTTCCCAAGGATGAAGGGGGATTGAGAATTTTGGATCCTCACTGGCCAATTGTGGCTCTGTTAGCCAAATGGTCAGTCAAGGCCCTACTAGCGGAAGAGGACACTTGAACACCAAAAGCCAAATGGCGTGAGAAACATTAACTTTCCCCAGGGATGACGGGGGATTGAGAATTTTGGATCCCCACTAGCAGAATGTGGCTCTGTTAGCCAAATGATCAGTCAAGGCCCACATCCATTTGCACCGAACACAGCCAAATGCCTTGGTGGGGCTTGACACGCTGTATCCAGTATAATGAATGGTCTCTGACACGGCCGAAAGATGTACAGGCATGCCTGCTGATCGAATCTTTTGTAAATAGACGGGCAAAATTGACATTTTGGAGGAACGTATTGAAGGTTTGGCAACAAGTTTTACCTTCTAACAGGGATCCACCACTATCAAAGGTTGAGTCTTTAACCAAGTTCTCTTTGAGAATACTTTGATTCTGGACGATCAGGGACACGAGTTTTCAGCACATCATAGTGCAAGGAACTTCGGCAGATTTTGGATCGAGAAGGGTATAACGAGGGTGAGAGACACCTGGGATGATAGGAAGAAAGAATGAAAACCGATTCAAGAAATAAAAAGTACGTTGGGCAGACTGCGGAAGATCTCGGAAAGGTTGGGGAGAATACAACAGGCGATTCCGCAATGATGTGTAGCCTTACTGAGAAGTGCTAACAGGTTGCCATCAACGGACTTCTGGTACAGAGAGACCGAAGAAGGCGACAAGGTTCTACAAATTACAGATGATTAGGGCGAAGAGGGGTTAGTGGCAATGGAATGGACGAAATCGGTAGATTTCAGGTTTAGTAGAGAGCTGGTCCGAAGAGAGACAGTGAGGGTAAGTCCACGTCAATAGTACACCTAGATAATAATCAGAACATTACTCAGAGGGCACCGTGACCAGCAGGAGGAAGCCTAATTGTTAAAGCCTCCTTACCTATGGGCCTCAGACCGCTGCAAAACTCAGTAGTGAATGTTAGAGGGATAGGGAGGTGGAGTGATAAGTAGAAGAGAGTCATTGCTCTAGATCAATACACGTCAAAGAAAGGAGTGGACTTTCTTAGATTCCAAGTAATAAAGACCCCGACCTCTACTGTAGAGAAGAGAAGGAGAAAGCATAACCTAATGACCTTGTCCAATCAGGAGACAGTCTCTCTATGCAAATAATTCAAAGTCATGTCGTCCCAGAAACCGACAAGTATGTTGTGGTTACAACTCTTACTGGCAACAACGAGCGCAGTGTGTTTGGTGAATAAAGGAATGAAGATACCAGAAAGCTGTGTTCGGTGCAAAGGGATGTGGGAAACCAATCGTCACCTTTGATTCACGTGTCCAGCTTCAAGAAGAATATGGGATCGGTGGATTAAACATTGGGACAAGATCACAAGGAGTAGTTTCCAATGGTCAGACGAATGGATAGTCTCAGGTTTACATAAGGCGTCGAGCAACCAGGAAAGCAACTGGCTTTATGTAGCCAAGACAATTAGAGCTATTATTATGAAAGTCATTTGGGACAATCGGAATGACCAGTTGTTCAAGAGTAAGTATTAACTTCATTTTGGAAAAAGTTTTTGAGTATGGATTGATATATACAAATTGTTATTTTTAAAATGCATGGCCCTGTTTGTCTATCATAAAGCGAATTTGAGACTCAACCTTGATGGCCTCCAAACGTTCAATTTCATGGTCGCATCTGCAAACGAGAATTTGGAACCATGATACTTTGCTCCCCTTCATTGTGGTTGACCGAGGGTCCACAGGAGACTACTATGGGAGCTCCGAAAGCAATCCCGAAGCGGAGATTGATTTTCCCGCAATTCTTTTCATGTTTGTCTTTGGGGTTTTTTTAGGCACGAAGTGCAACCATCTAAACTCTATAAGCAACTTGTCAGAAATTGATCTTAGATTTCTAGCATTATATTATAATGGACCCCTTCCAGAGCCTTTGAGAACGTTTACCTATGCTATTAAACCACCAGTACTTGGCCCAGCTATCGGCCGCGGAAAAAAATGGAGTAGAAACGTTTCTAGTTGGATGAATTTGGGCGCTCCTGTAGTGGCCCGTACATTTTCTAAAATCACATAGCGTTAACGGGCACGACTTCATGAAGTACTGGTGGTTTACGAACAGAATCGCTAAAGACATTAGGACAAAAATTCAGAGCAACTGGATACAAAGGACACTCAAGGGACGTTCGCCAAAAGTAGAAATGGTTTTGGGACATGTGGGGAAGAGAGTCCGGATTAGCGAAGCTGAACCCGTCAGGGAAGATCACTATTGCGCCCTGGCTGCTCTCCCCCGTAGGGCATGGGGAGCGCTTTAACTCCCCCGCATGAGAAGCCCAGGTAGTGACCAGAAGATC